GGGCCCCCGCTACTCACGTGCCAGATGGCGAAGAAGATGAGCGCGGCGGTGAGCAGCAGCGCCAGCATGTAGCAGAAGGCCGCGAACGTGAAGGCCATGGCCGGGGAGGAGCTGCCGGGCGCGCCGTGGCCAGCGGAGAAAGGCGGCGCACGGCCCTCTGGGTAAAACCATTCACTTCCCCCGGCTCGGCCGCCGCCGCCGCGGCCTCCTCCCGGCGCGCCTGCGCACAGGCCGCCTGCGCGAGCGCCCCCTCCCGGTCGGAGTCTGCGTGGCGCCTCTGCTGCCTGCACGGTTGAGGCGTTTACTCTTTGAGTGGTCACTGAATGAACGCCTAGTTTGCTCCAGCGACTGTCTTCTGCTTGAAAACCAGGAATAAATAAAAAGTACCTGCCTTGAGAGGGTTTAGTCTAATGCCAGAAACGAGCGACTACGTAATGGTGTGATAACCCTGTAGAGCGGCATCAGTGCGCGCTGTGAAACGTCAACAAACCAAAACAAACAAACAAAAAGGGCACCATCCCTCCTCGAAGCTAACCTGAGGCTTATGGGAGAAGTTCAGGCAAAGAGAAGAAGCTCTGGCAGTACAGGAAAAAGGTTCGAATCAGCAAAGACAGGGATGGAGAAGGGAAAAAATAAGAGGAAAAGCTTGTGTCTTGGGTGTAACCAGCAATAGATCTGTTAATGGAAGTTGCGTGAAAAACCAGTGAGAGGTCATTTCATAGATATGAAAATATACTCAGGTCAGGAGCTCAGGTTTACACCGGATCCCCGGCTTTTCAAACTTTGTTGCTTATCGCAAGATTTCAAAGATTTTGTTTTTCTTATTGCAACCATGTGACATCATAAAGATCACAAATTAGAAAGCAGGTCGCGGAGGGGGGAAAAAAAAACAAAATAAAATTTCTACAAAACAGCACATTTCATTTTTAAAGCTGGTTGCAACCTAGAAAATCAATTCATCACCTACTAGCTGCTGCTAATGGAAGTGAAAACTATTCAAGGCTCTTAACCAAGAAAGACATGCTAAATTTGTATTGAATTTTGCTCACACCAGCAGGTTGTGTGAATGGCTTAGAAGGCTATGTCCAGTCTGTCTGAGACTTGCTTTCCTGGAATCCATCCAACACAGCAGCCACTGGCTACTTGTGGATACAAAGTGGCTAAGATGGGTAAGGAATTAAACTTTAAATTTTGCATCACTTTAATCAATTAAAATTCATTTTAAATTTACATTTATTGTGTAAGCACACACCGACTGTGGTGAGTGGAGGAAATCCTGAGAGTGGGAATGTGTGCTATTCACATGGGCCTGGCCATCTCAGGGACCCCAAAAGCCACAGACCCATGGGAAAATGGTAAATCCCACCACACCCCAGGCTCAGGGAAATGACAAAGCCTTTGTCTGGTGTGGATTTTAATCTCCACCAAAGCCCCACGCCCCCCACCACCACCACCACCCCATTCACAGCCCGAAGACTCCTTTCCTTCGGAGACTGCCCCTTCTGAGAGTTATTAAAGCTGCTTCCTTGTTCAGCTGTATGCAATAACCCCTTCTCTCTGTCACTGCACAAAACACACACACCAACCTTCCAGGATATTATGCTTTCTCCACCCAAGAGCCCAGCCACCTGACCCCAGCTGTGCCTGGATGTGTGTTGTCTTTTATTCATTCACTGGCCATCCCCAGTCAGGTCCATTCCTGGAGGCCGAGCGAGGAGGAGGCATAGTGAAGAGATTACAGGAGTCAGTTCTCCTATGTGTACCCCAGGGATGGAACTCTGGTCAGGCTTAGCCCAGCCACTGAGCCACCTCACCAGCCCTCAGCTGAACTTCACGCAGCAACATGTAGCTCAAATACTGGGCAGCGATGGCCTGAATCACCAGGGTTATATGCCATTTGAAAAGTGTACTTTTCTGAAAGACAGAGGCCCACTGCAGTTCTGGAGGGTCTGATGTCCTCTCCCGGCCTCCACATGTACTGCACACACAGTACAAGGAGGCCATACCCACGCACATCAAATAAAAACAAACCTTTTTTAAAAAGCACTTTCTCAGCCACATTAGTCATAGTCCTATCACTCGATGTCCTCATGTCCTTCATATGACTGAGCTACTGTGCATACGGGATACTTCTCTCGTCACAAAAAGTTCTACCAGGTAAACTGTGAGGAATACCTTGCAGCAGTAAACTGGAGAACACACATTTTACTGAGGGCAAAGATCAAATTAAATCAACCAACCATAAACAAGGCAGTGAGTAAGGAAAATAATCAGTCTACTTGACATTCAGAGGGCCATTACAGTGAACAAACCATGTCCCAACAGCCCCCAGTGTTATCTGGGATTTACACGAACTCTCTCAAAACAAAGGTGTGTTCCTTCTTCTACTTGTATACAGAGATGGAGCTAAATGCTATGGGGAAAGGCTGATCGCATCGATCTCTGACCTCTCCTCTGATCTATCTCTTTGCTCTCTCTTCCTCCTCAGCTCTGAGTGATTCCATCCATTTGCCTCTACAGCCCCTATTGATCAGGCTGTCCAACTCATAGAACGCTGCCAGTTAGGCACAGATAACCTAGAAGAGAAACCCTACAAAGCATCTACTCTCAGAAAAAGCCCAGAAGCAGTTCAGATACACACTTTAGAGACGTCTCTGCCCAGTGTTAAAGGATGGAGGGAAGGTAGCGCTAACTTTTATAGGGCTGTACAGGACCTCAGCTGGAACCAGCACCATCTTGCCAAAAGCTAGGCATTCTCTTAGCAATCCAGCTTGTTTTTTCTTTTGTTTGTTTTTTTTTTTCCTTATCACCTATCCGCAGATGCTGCCAACTGACAGGATATGCTTCACCCATTGTTCAACCAGGTGGGAAAGCAGCTTGGCATTCTGATCAGCACCAAGTCCAGTCCATACCAAGGAGACAACCCTTCTTTGGCCTAGGTGGCTTATAAGTCGTTCAGCCACTGCCTGAAGAAGCAGGAGCAGGATATTTAAAGACTGAGTGGTAACAGAGAAGGGCAAGTCTTGGACTTAGCTGAATCTGCCCTCATTCAGCTCCAAGCCTCCCACAGAGGCAGAACAACAGGGCGCATGTCAGGCCAGTTGACAATGCTTTGGGAGGTAGGAAACTGCTCCTTGAGTAAGGAGTCTCCGAGCACAAATACTGTAGGACAACACTTCTCCATCTCCCGGAAGAGCTTTGTGTATCTGGAGTGATAACCTTACCTGGAAATGACAAGTGGCTGTAACACAGGAATCTACACAATGGGGAAACCAAGAAGGCTGACAGGAGTCTGGGGTTGTCCCTAATCTACTGTTATGGTTTGGACATTAAGTGTTCGCTGAAAAGATTTCTGTGTTAAAGAGTTGGTTCCTGATCGTGCAGAGGTAGCAAGCTGGGGAAATGGTTGTGTCAATGGACTCCCTGACAGAGTCATAGTGAGTTGGCCTTACTGGGAGCTGGTGCAAGGCGGGAAGCGGGATTAGTTAAATGAAGTAGGTCAGAAGTGGTGCATAGTGGTTTGATGAGAATGGCTCCCATAGGCTCATAGGCTGGAATGCTTGGTCTCTAGAGTGGAACTGCTTGGTAAGGATTAGAAGTGTGGCCTTGTCTGAGGAGGTGTGTCATGGGGGGAGGCTTGAAGTTTCAAAAGCCCAAGCAAAGTCTAGTCTCTCTCTGCCTGACTGCAGATCAGATATGAGCTCTCAGTGCCATGCCTGCTTGCTGCCACAGTCCAAGCCATGGTGACACTAGAGTAACCCTTTGAAACTGTAAGACACCAACTAAATGTTTTCTTTTAGAAGCTGCCTTGCTCAAGGTGTCTCCTCACAGCAACAGAAAAGTGACTAAGCTGGAGTGTTGGGGTTTAGGCTGGTGCTATGTATTCTAATGTTAATTAATGGCAAAGATCTTGTCCCTGCTCAGAAGAACACATTCTCATGCAAACCTATCCTTGTTGTGTAAATCTGCCTAACTCATTAAACTTGATTGGTTGATTAAACAGCCTATACCTGGGGAGGGCAGAATGGGGTAGGCATGGCTAAGGTTTCTGGACTTTTGGGGTTCGACAGAGAATCACAACAAACAGATGGACAGGAAGAGAGGAAAAAGGAGGACTCCACCATGGGTTAGCGAGAAGAGGCCATGTGGGCTGGGAGGAAGGACTCCAATAATGGCATGAAAAGGCCCAGATGAAGAATATAAACATGTACCATGGGATTATGTAGAGGGGGTAGACCAGATGAGGAGGATTAAGGCAGATGGCATTGGATGGGGGCTGGGAGATGGATGGTGAGGCTATTGAGACAGTATAAGTGAAATATCTGCCTGGCCCAAGATAAATTAAGGCAATTATAAAATTTAACAGGTGTCTGTGTCTTATTATTTGTGATAGTGGGTTAAACAATTCTGCTGTGATAATCTTAGGGCTAATAATAAATACTAAAATAGGCCAATAGCCACGGTGTGCCTTGGAAAGAGAAACCATGTCTCTCCGTTCCTGGCTACCAAAGATGAACAACTCTAATCCACTACTCTGCTTGGTCAGGATATTTTTCCAGAAATAACGGAACCAGCGCAACAGAACATAGATATTAACCTCTGAAACCAGGGGCCAAAATAAGTCTTCCCTCCTTAGAGCTGCCCAGCTCAGGTGTCTGTCAGTTTGTCACAGCATCTTACCATGTAACAATCACACACTGCTTTCTCACTGGCTGTCCTCAGAGTATGCTCAAGGCCCTTTTGCTATTGCACAGAGAAAGCTTTTCCAGTCCAAGGTCTTGGGAAAAGGTGGCTTCCATTCCTTGAGAGTAATGAGTGACTTTCATTTGCTCTCTGTGGTGGTTGATGTGAGAATGTTATATATTTGGAGTGCTTAGTCTTCAGTTGGGAAACTGGAAAGATTAGGAGGTTTGGCCTCCTCGGAGAACCCCTGGGAGTGGGCTCTGAAGCTTCAGAAGTCAGGCCATTCCAGTCTTTGTCTTCCTGCCTCCGACTTGCTGATATGGTAGTGAGCTTTGAGCTACTGCTCCAGTGCCATGGCCGGGCCTGACTGCTGCTTTGCTACCTACCGTGATAGTCACAGACTTGCCCTCTGAAAGTGTAAGCTCCAGTAAGTCCTTTTGTATGTTCCTTGGTAGAGGTGTCTCATCAGAGCTACTTGAAAGTAACAATAGGTTATTCA